CCTGAAACCTCCTGTAGACCTGAAAATTGGAATACCCTTGGTAATAGTTTGGGGGTGTTGTGGCGAGTGCCAATGGACGGAGCTGGTGGAAAACGCTTTCCTTCGCTCTATTGGAACAACATCTTGGCATCCAAGCTGCTAATGTTCATGGTAGAAGTAGCATCTGAGATGGCACTCAGACAGAAAACTATGTGTGAATAATTTTTCTCTTAATGGAAGTGCTGTATTCAGAATAAAATCAGCAAACAAGGTCCAATGTTAAGTAAATAATAATTCTTTTTCCAGCATGCTGGAAGTGCTGAATCATGAAGCATGACAGAATATGCCCCCCCCTCTTTCTCCACACACACACAATTTCTCCAGCTTGGTGACTCCATACTAAAAAAGCTACCAGCCAATCAACTGCTCTGCTCGCTCAGACTGAAGGGAGCTGTACTCCAAAACATCTGGGGCACCAGGTTGGGGAAGGCTGACATACTATGGTGGTCAGACTTCACAGTGTACTATATAATGGGGGGGGGGGGAGACCCAGCTGATCTCAGTGATAAGTCACTGATAAGTCAATTCACCCTTCACAGTTCACATCTTGCTAAGGTCTGTATTCAATATGTGGCCCAACCTGGTCAAAATTCACAGAAATGCTTTGGGAAAAGAGACCTTGAATATAGAACTGACATATTGGAGCACCTTTTTGTGTGTGTAGATTTTAGAAAATGATAATTATTAGCTCTAGGGTTTAATTGAAAGCAATTCAATTGAGCCATTAGGCACAGAGTATTGCCATGCATTTCTTAATAGCGAACAATAGCTGAATTTATATCATCTGCACTAAACAGAAAGCTGGATCTTAATATACAGACACCCTAAAAATGTCTAATTAGTTCGCCTTTCCTCATTTGCAGACTTGGAGGAGGATGAGGTAGAAAGTGTTCTGGAAATGTGGAAATGAAAATTAACATGCACTGAAAACCTGTTTTGTGGTGAGAAACCCCTGAATTTAGTGAGAGGTGATGGGTTCCAAGCAATGCATCCCTTCCTTGTTTATTAAGAATAGATAGTCCTGTTCCAACTCTACAATTCTGTTTCCATGTTGAGATTCCTGCATTGCAGGAGGTTGGACCTGGGGGGTTCTTTTCCAATTCTACAATTCAACGATTTTATGAAGGGGGTGTTCATATAGGTTACCACTCCTATTTAGATGCTTGTGAGCAGAACAACCCTGATCATAAATTGGGGTGATTGGGAATGTGCTTGCTTAATTCAGAGGGAGCAACCCACAACCTAAGGCCAAGAATCTTATACCAGAACAGGGAAAAGTAGAGGCAGTTGTAGGCAGACTTGTTGAGGATGATATGTCCTAAAACCCGCAGCAGAAAACTGATATTCTGCATGCTAGTTTGTCTGTGCAAACGGACTATGGGGGTTCATAGAGTGCCATTTTTTCTATCCAGGATTATGGGATTTGTAGTCCAAGTCCTCCTTTGCTGGGGCCTAAAGGGGAGCCACCTCTCCCTTTCCCCATCCCTTGCTTCATGGTAAGCTTCTTGTCCTTGGGGAAGTGGAAGGGCATGGCAGGTGTCCTCAAGATTCTTGCCCTCGGTGTCAGTTTTTGGGCCTTAAGTAAGGCCAAATGAAGGAGAGCTCTGGAGGATTTGCTGAACAATGCCAGCGGTGACACGACTGCTTCCCATGGCAATGCTGATGGTCCCTGGGGCAAGGTGACAGTGGTGTGGAGCCACCTACATTGTTGCCACGCTGTCAGAAATTTGATCAACTGCCCTGCCCACCCCCATTGCTCATGCTCTTATAATATCCGTATCCTACCCTCCATCAAAGAAATGTTCACAGTATAGGTAACTTAAAAGTAAAATCACGGCACAATACTAATCAATAAGGTATCAAACCATATATCTACTCTTTGGCCTTATCAGCAGCTGAATGATCTCTTACCCCATCCAAGGCTTAGTGGATGGGGTGAAATTTTAGCTGGTGCTGAAAGGCAGGCAATTCTGTTGCCAGCCATATTTCAGGAGATTTTGATTTATGGTGAAGCATTCCATAGATATAATATCCATATACGAAATCAGATTCTGTATAATATTTTTTTCCCAGTTTCATTTGTATGTAGAGAGCTGATGAGATGGAGTTCTTGTTCAATCTGCCATTTTGCCTGCAATAAAATGACTAGTTTATGGGAAATAAGGTAGGGCTCTCATGACTTGACCTAGATTTATGAAGGAACTTGTAAAAGTATTTGGTTTCAATAAATCTGATAGATTAAACACTGTTCTTGTTAGCGGTTGATAGACGTCCTCTTTTAAAGTCATCTAATTGCCAGAGAACCTATGCAACATCACTATTAAAATCAAGATTTGGACATGAAATAGTGATATCTGTCAGCAATGTCTATCTTGAGCAATATGCACATTGACCTTTTTACAGTGATCAGAAAATGCATGACACTCTAAAAAAAGAAAGAACAACCTAAGTAAAGTGCCTTAATTAAAAAGCCAAAGCTCTTTTGAAAAATGAGAGTCTGTTTTACCTGCCTCAAGTAACAGAACTTATTTTCCGCAATATTTAGGTGTTAAGTACTCCCTTGCCTCTCTCTTAAGGGGATTATAAACTGCTTTTGCAAGCTACAGGGTGAAGTAAAGTACTGAAAAGAGTTATTAAAATTGACAAATTAATGCAAGTAATCTGTTACATGTGGCATTTGAAATGCCTTCTGTTCTGTAGTTAATATTCTAAAAATAAATGTTTTTTCACTGAAATGTTGACTGGACACTGTGCTGTGGTATTTGTTTTAATAACCTGAGGCTATGCAAAATCACAATCCAAAACATATGACTTGCTGGTGTTATGGGACTAGATGCTACAATGTGGTGGCAGAGTTGTGCTTAGGAACAGGTCTCACTCTCTGGTGGGTGCCATGTTGGGAATGAGGTGCCATGATCAAGCTAACACTCAAACATTGTTCGTGTGGAGGTGAACTATGGCTTTCATCTGCAAAATCATGGGGTTTTCTTCTGGGTAGAGAGGTGTAAGATTGCACTGTAAGACTACTAAAATCTGCCTTCAGTTCCAAGGTACCAAGAGGACTCTGGGTGACATGGGAGATACGATTCCTGACAAGTAAACATGATTTGAACAAAACAGAAATAATCAAAAGAGTATCCTCCAGTGTCCATCTGAATGTCTCGCCTTTTGACATTTATTTGTCCCACCAACCCACTGACATCTCGATAACAACTATTTTTAAAAGCAGAGCACCAAGTCTAAGCTTACTTGGACAACATCTTCCCTTCATAGCTCCAAAAGGTTTCCCTTTCTGTCTCATTTAAATATTAAGAAGTGCTTTCATGAGCTGTTTGGTTGCATTTAATGTTCCAAAGCAGATGTGAGTAGTGCAAGGAAGCCACATGACAATACATGAGAGGCTTTTTTATCATGTCTAAAACCAACAGGAAGGAAATACTTTTACAATATGTCATAAAAGACATGGGGATTTTTAAAACTCGCTGGTGCTTTAAAACTTGGTTGCTATATATTAGGTTTTGTCTACTGTGTGTGTTCTTCCTCTGTAAAACAACCAAAGGGTCAAACAATCTATATATATCCCCTCAATTCCTCAAAACAATTACTCTCTACAAGCTACATGGACCTAAGTTTCTGCATTGGTGGTCTCTGCTGATATTCTTGTCCTAGAAATGGATGGAGAAAATTATACCCTATTGATTAAATTTGCCAGCATTCTGATTAGAAGTCAGGTACAGTGGTGCCCCACAAGACGAATGCCTTGCAAGATGAAAAACTCGCTAGACGAAAGAGTTTTCCGTTTTTTGAGTCGTTCCGCAAGACGAATTTCCCTATGGGCTTGCTTCGCAAGACGAAACGTCTTGCAAGTTCTTGCGAGTTTGTTTCCTTTTTCTTAAAGCCGCTAAGCTGTTAATAGCCACTAAGCCGCTAAGCCGTTAATAGCCGCTAAGCCGCTAAGCCACTAATAGCCGCTAAGCCGCTAATAGCCGTGCTTCGCAAGACAAAAAAACCGCAAGACGAAGAGACTCGCGGAACGGATTAATTTCGTCTTGCGAGGCACCACTGTACAACTGAAGGAAGGTGAGGACAGGTGACCCCACCTAGGCCCGAAGTCACCCCCCCAAAGCAGGCTCAAAGCTTCTCAAAGCTTTTCAAAATCATTTTCTCAGCAGCTAAGCATCAGAAACATTCCGCTCTGCTGTAACCAAGGTAGAGAACAGTCCATTGTGTCTCAGGCCTTTCTCATGCCTTCTGGCCTTGCTAAAGAACCACATTGCAACTTACTTTCTGTCCGGGAACCATGCCAGAACAAGAGATTGAAACATATCTGAACACTCTGAAACCCCTTTCCTGGGAAGGGTGCCAAGAGTCCACAATAGTCCCAAGACAGCTTTCTGTTCATGCTCAGAGGAACCCATGGGCAGGACTCCTGAGGGAGGAGAAAGGAGGAGGGAACTAGAAAGGGGTATATATGCTTGTGCACATGACTGTGAACTTTGTGCATGCTTTTTGTGAACTATCACACTTTCTCCTTCTACCAGTTCATGGATGGTAGAAATAAAAAGCCTTTTCTCCGAAACTATTCCTTGAGTGTCTGCTGACTCCCACTTCCCTTTCCCAGGCGCAATATTTTTCCCACCCGAGGGCAAAGCCTCATAAGGCTACATAACTTTGAAATATTTTCCCCTGTTAGTGGGAGTAACCCAAAGAAAATTTTTCTGAGTGGATTTATACTGGCATGCACGGTCAGTGGACTAGGGGAACTAGGCAAGTCCCCTAAATGTTTCCCTGGTGCCTCCTTCCCAAAGCCTGGGAAGCTTCTGCCCGGCTTAGGGAGGGAGGCATGATGCTCACATGTGTGAGCATCACAATGTCACATGTGAGAGCGTCACGTGTGAGCATCACAATGTCACATGTGCAACATTGCCCCTCCCCATCACTCTCACAAGCTGGCGCCTATGGTCCTAACTATTCCTGTACAAAAAATTTCACCACACAGCACAGGTTTATTGTCTGTGAAACTCTGAAGAAGGGCTTTTTCGTAGTGTTTGTTTATACGGACACCTTCATTACAGTTTAATGACATCATAATTAGGGAAGAGAAGGAACGTAGGTCCATTCCGATGGTGTGGCGAGAAGGATATGTTTTCTAGGAAGAACTTTTCCACCCCTTCTGGTCATCAGAAGAACTTGTAACAAAGAACTTGAACCTGCCTTGGTTTAGTTCCTCCTCCCTCCCAATCTGTTTGCCTTTTGTGGAATATCTTTTTAGATCCAGACCCATCTGTTTGACCCTTGAGACACTGCCCAGGCCACACCTTGTCACAGACCACCCCCTCCTTGAGTGCTTTGGCCAGGCTGGAATAAGGTCTCTGAACCATGATATTGCCTTTTGCTTGCCAGGATGGATCAATAGAGATGTAGAAACCCCGACTTTTTCATAGCTGGAGTAGGGTTGCCATATTTCAAAAAGTGAAAATCTGGACACAAAAGTTCTTAAGCTTTTTTTCCACCAGTCCTCCCCCCCCCAAAAAAATAAGTTTTTTTCATCTATTTTAAAGGAAATTCACCAAAATCTACACTTCCAACATGGGATTTCCCTAGGCATTTCAACAAATTCTGCCCGGACACTGCTTACAAAGGCTGAATCCCGGTTATGTCTGGGAAATTCTAGACATATGGCAACCCTAGAATACAGCCTACTGTACAAGCATAAGAGTTACAGCCATAGCTCTGCCAACTCTGGCACTTTGCCTCTGCCTGAAGATCACTCTTGTAGCCCTCAGGCTGAAACGGGTTCCCAACCCCTGTTGTAGGAACTGCCTTGTAAACTTTTTCCTCCCTGCTGAAATAATAATAATAATAATAATAATAATAAGTGTGTGTGTGTGTGTGTGTGTGTGTGATCTGTGCCAAACAGAACTTTGTTGTGGTTTGTTTGTAAGAGCTGCACCAAATTTCATTCATGATTGTTTTTCAGATGAAAGCAGGGTTTGGAAGGATGCAACCTACTCTAACCCCGCAGCAATGTATTGTTTTGCCGTTTGGCACGCTGATTGACAGAGGAAGGACAAATGCACTGGAAAGTATGACAAAGCAATTGCTTGATCCATTCTCATCTAACCTCCCAACAAACACCTCAGGATGAATGCTCAATAAACAGACCACCCAGGAGTGACCTGCATGTCTTGCTGTGTGTCAGTTTCATGACAGCATGGAAATACTTGGAGCATCCTAGATGTGCATCCCGATGTGAATTACTTCCCATGGGATGCACATACCAATGTTCATGCTCATTCATATTTTGAGGCAATTGGTCATCTGTAATTATGCACAGTTAGAGGTGGTTTGGGGCAAGGGGTTTCAAACTTCAACATGCTGAAGAACACAGTGTTGTTTTTTATTACCACAGCATACCTTTCATCTGCACCACTACTCACGTATTTTTATCTTTACAAGAGCACTTTATGACCAAGGGGCATTGGTCCATTTGGCTTGACAAAGGAGATGCATCATGCCCCGTTCAACCCTTCAGTTAACCCAAAGGGAAAATGCTTTGGGGGCGGTGTGAAAATGTACATGAGATTTCCCTCCTTTCAGCTCAGCTATAGGTGTTTTTCTTTTAATTGCTAGAATTTTGACTGGGAAAACAATGGTACTATTTTTTAAAGAGTTTGGGACCCCTGTCTTCTGCCTTCATCAAGAAAGGGTTCCCTTTTTTAGGTTTGCTTTCTTTTAATCCATTTAATCCTGTGGAAAGAAATTGGATCAAAGTTTTTTTAAGTTTCATTGCTTGAAAGGAAGCTAACATCTGAATTCCTATTCTGTTTAGATGTGTCACTTCTGATTGCTATTTAGTGACAGATTTCCTAATGTTCACCAAGCATTCATGCATCTTTTGATTGTCGCTGTATGCATCTTGAAATGTTCACAGCTCCACTGATTTGGTCATTTTGATTTCTGCTGCTGATTCAAAAAGACTTTGTGGTGGGCGGAAAATAACAGGGTGGATAAGGCATGGTGACTTCTAATGAGTAAGCCATTCAGCTCTATACCATTACAAAAATGTACGCACTATCTAATAAAGGTCTGGCTAGGATTTCTTTGATCTTTGGTTTAAAAACATAATGCTAATTTTCATTTTTACTCAAAGTAGAACCATTGAAAATAATGGGCCCAAGCTAGTCAAGTCCATTAATTTTAATGGATCTTCTCTGAATGTGACTAACAATGGCTTGCATGCAAGCTGAAGCACAGCAACAAATATAGTTACATCTATGTTGCTTTCCTAATACCTATATTAATATTCCCTTTAGTAGCTTTCAATTTGTGTCAAAAGTAACCAAATGTGGCATACAACGATGCTGCATATTAGGGGGGGGGACCATAATGGATCCTTTTCAGTTCTCTGGTCACATGTTTGTTCTTCAGTGGTCCCAGATATTTTCTTTCCATAATGCAAAAAGAATTAATGGGAAAACTTTTGCGTTGAAACATATACTCTATTACTCTATGTAGGAGATGATAGATATAGATAGATAGATAGATAGATAGATAGATAGATAGATAGATAGAGATAGATAGTGCTCCTATTTACTTCCACTAAATTACTTAAATAAAAGAGAAATACCTGTATTCAGACTAGAGGTGCTAGACAGGGTTGAAACTGTATGTTATAACTCCTCTAATAAAATTCACATAGCCTAGATTCTGACACTGGAATGTGGAGTTAACCATTCTAGTACACCCTCCTCTGGTGTGGAGGAACAAAGCATTCTCTCATCTCCAGCCACACCCTTTCACTGGAAGCTGGTGCGCATTGGGACTTGTAAAGGTGATGGCAAGGAGGCCAACACTAGGTGACACCAGAGCTACTGATAAACAGAATCAACCTATTCTGGTTTCTCCTCAGTAAAACTGAGGAGACTGACAGCTAATCTCACACCATGAACTGGTTGCAAGTAAGGATGTAGGGCTGCCATTTTCCTGGACATTACCAGGATTTCAAAGGCGGAATGGACGTCCGGGGGAATTCCCGAAAGGCGGTGCTTTGTCCTGGATCTTAGGCAAGTCAATCGAAAAATTACATTTTGGGGGGCGTTTTTGTAAAAAAGCAAAAACACCCTTTGGGGTTTGTCGGAAAAAAGCTCAACAACTCAACAAGCTGCAACCCTAAAGGACGCAGATGGAGACTGGCTAAGGATAGACTGAGGCTGGTGGGGCAGTGCCCTATTTATTCTAATGGACGATCCACCATTGCAACTTTGTGAAGGGCTTGGGAACAGCATAACTCCAAAAATGCAGGAAATGGACTCACACAATGGTCATTTTGAATTGCTGGGGGATGTTTACAAATAGACAGGGCAGTGTGGGAGGACACCCAGTGGCCCTGTTTGTGCTCTCCCTGCCTGCCTGCCTTTTCAAAGATCACTGTTTTCTAAGAGCCAGTAGAACCATCTGCTTCACTGATTCACAGTGTCCAAAGCTTCATTTGCATCTTGGTGTGAAGCACAGTATTGCATAGCTGTGCCCAGTTGCAGATTATCTTCCTTCCCTCTAGCACTGCAGTTTTTTATCCCAGCAATAAACTCAATGAATTTAGGGCCTTGCTTCTTCTTGTAGATGACAACATTCATAAATGACCAAACTAATCTATGAATAGCTCTAAAGCTGTGCAGTAAAACGCCTTTGGTTATTCTTACCACTCTTGTTTGCTTTCTATATTGTGAGGGGCCACTATGCCAGCAAAGAAACAAAATAAGTGCTTCCTCGGGAATGGGGGTGTAAATGGTCGTAATTAAGTTTCGTACACTTCTTGAGGTTCTTAGCATTCTGGTACAGAGTAGGTTAAGAAGACAGATAAGGAGAAGAAAGACAGTTTGTTATTTGATACACACACAAAAAAACAAAACAAAAGCAAAAAAACCCAGTTGGTTTTATTGTTTACACCCAAATTTCCTAGAAGCTTCATATTGAATACAACCATGGTCATAGACAACTATTGCATGTTCAGATATCCACATCATTTTTTACTGGGGAGGGGGAAGTATTTGCTAAATTACGGGCTTCAAAATTGTGTACTTTTAAAATTTGAAACATACAGCAATTATTTAAGAGAAAAATAAAGGCGTGGGGGGTAGTCAATAATGCAAGGTTGGTAAAGAAGTTCTATTTAAAGAGCATTTGGTTACCTAGCAACTGCTGTAGGAGGTAACGGATATCCAAACTTTTCCTTTTCCTTTTCCTCTCTTTTTTTTGCTGCTGGCACTTCTGAAATGCATATGTGTGTGTGTTTGTGTGTGTGTGCATCTTTGTGCATCTTTGCACACACACAGAGAGAGAGAGAGAAAGAGAGAGAGAGAGAGAGAGAGAGAGAGAGAGAGAGAGAGAGAGAGGAGTGTTCATTAGACCACCAGGCATTGTAAAAAGGATTTTAACAGTCAGGAGATGTGACTGTATTTAAGATTCCTTTTTCCAGTCACTAGTTCATTGTCAGCAGCAGTTACAGAGCAGCTTTATATGCATTCAGACACAGCCAGAAAATTAGTCTTGCATGACTGAATCAGAAAGAGCACTGAGTACAACTATCATCACCCATTTCCTTAAACAATTGTTTATTTCTTGGGATGATAACAGAATTCCATGTCACAATACGAGGCCTGGGTAAGGGGGTCCCGTCTGTCGTCCGTCCCCCCTCTGCACTCTACCAGCTTTAGAAATGAAACCAAACCTCCAAATAAATCATGCTGCTGTTTATCAAAGTCATTCTGTGTGTCTCTGCTAATTTTGTGTGCCTTTTTATTTTATGACATAAGCATTCAATAACTTAATAGCTCAATTGGTGGCTTCCTTTTTCTTCTCAAACTCAGAAAAGCTGTTTGAATTATTATTATTTTTTAAAAAATATATCTGAAGTGAAGTTAATTGATCAGTGTGAGCAGGCTATGCAAAACCATACCCTTCAAACAAAGGATTTTGTCTAAAAATACACATTGACTAAAATGGGTTTGGCTCTAGAGGGGAATGGTGGCAATGTGGTTATGGATTAACTGAAATGGGACTCTAAATCTTGTGATTGTTTCCTGATCATTCATATCCAACCATCCTTTGAGGTATAAAACAAAAATGGTTTCTCAACTGCATGGCATATATTTCACTGGAGGGAATGGGGAAATCCTTGTGGCTAATATTCAGCATGAGTTCTAAGGAGCATGTGAGGCTCTGGCTTAGGCATGCCATCAAAGAGAGCTGTGTGTACCCAAATGACCCTGAAAGGGCTGGTCCTTTTCTAGACTGCAATGGCCAGCCGCTGGCTTCAGCTCCAAGTGGGAGAGCACCCTCTAAATGCCATCGTTCAGTTGTTCCTCTGCCTGTCAGTACTCAGCTTTCTGGGTGCCCATGAGGACTGCACCACTTCACAGCTGGTGCCTAACATGACATGGGCAGCAGCCGCTAGAAGGAAGTTTTCAAGAAAAGAGGGGTTGGAGGGAAAAGCAGGACAACCATGAATAACACTTCCATCCTCTCATGGAATGAGAGTAAAGGACAGAGGGGAAGTATCCACAGCTAGGTCCCAAGAGGAGAGGACCAGGCAGGAAGTTGCCAGGGGAAGTGTTATCACTACTCACCTTGATCACTGCTCCAGAGGAGACAGCAGCTATTCAGGGCAGGATTCTGAAGGAAAGGATGTCTGACATACCTCAGCAGGAAAGGAAAGGGAGCCCACACTGCATCAACTTCTTGCTCCTGTCCTTTATACAGTGGTACCTTGGGTTACAGACACTTCAGGTTACAGATGCTTCAGGATACAGACTCTGCTAACCCAGAAATAGTACCTCAGGTTAAGAACTTTACCTCAGGATGAGAACACAAATCGTGCGGCGGCAGTGGGAGGCCCCATTAGCTAAATTGGTACCTCAGGTTAAGAATGGTTTCAGGTTAAGAACAGACCTCCAGAATGAATTAAGTTCTTAACCCGAGGTACCACTGTACTCTGAATCTCAAGGTGAAAGAGGAAACTACTACTACCCAGACTTTATTTGTTCCATCATGGTTTTTCCTCTGCTAATCCTACAGACAGTTTAGTCTCCCTGGCCCTGGACATGGTTACCACCACACTAGCTTCTGAGCACAGGATGAACATCCAAGCCATCTTCTTTGTGGTAGGCATCTG